GAAATATATTTTTTTATTTTTTTATTTTTTTTATTTGATTTATATGCCGCCCTTCTCCGGAGACTCAGAGCGGCTTACAATGCGTTAAGCAATAGCCTTCATACTTTTGTATATTTATACAAAGTCAGCTTATTGCCCCCACAAACTGGGTCCTCAAATATTGGATTACACCATATTTTTTTCAGGAGTGGGAAGGATGCATCCCTTCCCCGAGCCATTCTCAAATAGGAGAGGTCCCATTCCCCAAACTGGTAGCTCTTCCCTTTTTTTCCTTCCCTCACTATAAGGTTTTAAGGCAGGGGTGAAATTCATCAGGTTCTGGAGAACCGGTAGCAGACATTTTGAGTAGTTCGGAGAACCAGCAAATACCACCTCTGGCTGGCCCCAGAGTTTAGTATATTCATACTTATATGCCGCCCTTCTCCCGAAGGACTCGGGGCGGCTCACAAAGATAAAACAACGGAACAATAAAATTAATACTAAAATAATCTAATTAAAATCCCCAAGAAGTTAAAACTAAGACTCCCAGCAGATCAGACAATTTGTTGGAAAAGCCATGTCTTCAGGTCACCGCGGAAAGAGCGGAGGTCAGGGGCCGTCCGGAGCTCAGTGGGTAACCCATTCCAGAGGGTCGGTGCGCCCACAGAGATTGCCCTCATCTTGGGCGCCATCAGCCGACATTGTCTGGCGGAAGACACCCGGAGGAGGGCAGTCCTATGTGAACGCACTGGGCGGTGGGAGGCCAGTAGAAGGTGATCCTGCAACTACCCCAGGCCCATGCCATGAAGGGCTTTATAGGTAAGTACCAGCACCTTGAAGCGGATCCGAAGGACTACCAGTAACCAGTGCAGCTCGTGCTGGAGTGGTGTAACACGGGACTGGTGGGAAGCTCCCGTAACAACCCACGCGGCCGCATTCTGGACTAGCTGGAGCCTCCGGGTGCACCATAAGGGCAGCCCCATGTAGAGGGCATTGCAGTAATCCAAACGCGAGATAACGAGAGCATGAGTGGGGTGGGAATGGAGATTTTGCAGTATCCTTCCCCTGGAGTGGGGTGGGAATGGAGATTTTGCAGTATCCTTCCCCTGCCACACCCACCAAGCCATGCCCACCAACCCATACCACACCCACCAAGCCACGCCCACAGAACTGGTAGTTAAAAAAAAATTGAATTTCACCATTGTTTTAAGGTGACTTTCCCTGAAAAGATCCGTAATAAAAAGAACTTTGTGGTGATAAGAAGGAAACAATAAAATAAAGGGGGATGTTATTTATACATTTGCTATGCCATGATTTTTCATCAGGGTGTTACTAACTGAGCCACAGTAGCTGGTTTCATGCAGGCAACAGGTGAACCCCAACCAAATCACACAATGGCTCCCCCCAAGGTGTGACCTCAGTTAGTGAGACTGACTCTAATTGCTGCCACCTGCCTGGGAACTGAAAGAAAGTACAGCCACTGACAAAGGATGGACCATAAAGCTAGTGATCGAAGTTGGGAAATTCAAAAGCTGAATCTAGGGATCTTATAAGCGATACCATTTTACACATTCCATTTGCAAGCTCTCCAGCTCATTCTGGCAACCAAGGCCCAGACTATCTCCCCCACATCTGGTTGAAATCACCAAAGGGAACCCAGTAACAGCCATGAATATCATGAAGCCAGTTGCCAATAGATTTCCACAGACAAGATCAAAAGCAAGAGCTTAGACTAGCAAGCCAGACCGTGAGAATCCTCTCGTTCATCAAAGATTGCTGAGAGTAGTCCTAACCACAAATGGAGCAAAAAACTTAACAAACGTTGTGTTAAGTGCACATAGATGCTAATCATCTGAGGTGTCTCCAATGAGGAAAATATATTTTCCATTGTGATCAGGAGTTGGGGAAGGTGCCAGATTTCTCCTGCAGAATGCTGATCAGAACCAAGCATTTTGAATTTATTCAGTCAGTGTTATATTATCAGCATCACTGGGATCCCTATTTGTTTTCATTCCCAATTCAAAGTACTAAGCTAACTAGATAATGCCCTTCATGGCTAGGAACCACAGTCTCTGAAGGAACACCTGCCCTATATATATCTTCAGAAACTTTGGCCAGAGTGCCCTCCCAGATTGAAGGTGACCAGGGTGATGACCAACTAGAAGATTATCTTTTTTCCCAATTCTGGATTGTCCATCCTAGAAAAATACCCCTCCTATTATTTTATTCCTTATCTGATGGCCAAGCAAAATTATTTTTATTCGTCGAGCATTTTGATATACTAAAAGTGACTTTTAAATATTACCTGGAGATTTCAATGAAAGATTTAAACCACCCCAAGAAAACTTCAAAATGCAACATAAAGCTTTTTGAAATTTAAAAAGCTGCAAAAAAATGTTCCCCTCCATTATTTCCCACTTCAACTGTGATGGGTATGTGTGCGTGCAGAGAGGGGGAGGGAGGGAGAAAAAGGGTGAACAGATACTTCAGAGAATGTTGTTCCTCCCCCAAGTCATACACATATCTCTGAACATCTTCTAACCCTAAAGCCACAGATCTTGGAGTAGAATATTTGTAAATATATATATATATCCTCCCACATACTTCCAGTCATCTGAATAAAGAAAGAATGGGAAGGAAAGAGTACTCCTAGTTCAAACTGTTGATTTAAATAAAAGAGTATTTACTCACTGGCCAGATACGGTAACATGAAAACTGCGGAAAGAAGCCACCCTAATTACATCTAGATCTTGTGTAAAGGGATAAGCAACTGGATCCAACTCATTATTATACTGGAAATATAATTATCCCATCACCAGTTAAGCTCTGATGCTTATGTAAGAAAATCATGGCTTAATCAGAAAGGTTTGGAAAGAGCTGAAACAGCCCTAAAATCGAAGTGGCACTTATTCTTTTTAAAGATACAAGTGATTGCTTATTTCATCTTGCAAATATGCACTTTTTACCTATGGGTAAGATACCTTTACATTGCAATTTGCATACACCACGTGTTAATACATGAATGGCTATTATATTGTACTATGGTGAGAACAATTAGCATTTATCTATCTTATATGGTTGTTGTGGGGATTCTCCATGAGCTTGACAGGATAATTTTACAGAATGCATGTTAATAACATTTCAGTGTACTAATCCCCCCAAAACAACAGGATGAGTATGCAAAGACCCTTCCCAAAAAGGATGGCTACAATCCCCATGATCCCCACCCAGCATATAATATTCAAATTCCTGCTCAACTATGAAATTCATTAATCCGGTTCTCGCATATTAAGCCATGCTGTATTTCAGCACGTTTAGTTGAATGCATTTTTTTTTTCATTTGACAGTTAGAGCAGCTTGTGGAAGGCCACATTCCCAAAGCTGCTAGTGGGACAAAAAATAAAATTGATTTAATTTACTTTGAAATAAAACCCAACATGGTTAATATAGCTACTTTCCAATTGCGTATTTAATTCTCTTTCTCAATATTGCATTAAACATTTAAAGATCAACAACAACTTTTAAAGATCTCTGAGGGTTAAGCTCAAAATTTTCAGGGGTGGAGGGAATATGGAGTGTTGCAGCCCTTAAGACAGGGGTGAAATTCAGCAGGTTCTGATAGGTTCTGGAGAACCGGTAGCGGAAATTTTGAGTAGTTCGGAGAACCGGCAAATACCACTTCTGGCTGGCCCGAGAGTGGGGTGGGAATATTCTTTCCCCAGGAGTGGGGTGGGAATGGGGATTTTGCAGTAGCCTTCCCCTGCCATGCCCACCAAGCCATGTTCACCAAGCCGTGCCACGCCCACCAAGCCACGCCCACAGAACCGGTAGTAAAAAAATTTGAATTTCACCACTGCCTTAAAAGTAGATAATTCTGCCATAAATCAATCTGCAATGGCTAGAATTGAATATTCTGCTAAATTGGTTCTTGCTTTTTGCATTTACGGTACTATTCTCTTTCTTACAATACAGGTAGTTCTCCATTTACAACAGTTCATTTAGTGACTGTTCAAAGTTACAACAGCACTGAAAAAAGTTACTTATGACCATTTTTTCACACAATCATTGCAGCACTCCCGTGGTCATGTGATCGAAGTTCTGATGCTTGGCAACTGATTCATATTTATGAAGGTTACAATATCCTGGGATCATGTGATCCTCTTTTGCAACCTTTTGGGAAGCAAAGTCAATGGGGAAGCCAGATTCACTTAACAACCATGTTACCAACATAACAACTGCAGTGATTCACTTAACAAGTGCGGCAAGAAAAGTCGTAAAATGGGGCCCTTGCCAAATGTCTCACTTAGCGACAGAAACTTTGGGCTCAATTGTGATCGTAAGTCGAGGACTACCTGTACACTGTCTGATGATCTGAGGATCGACTCAAGTAACCCTGAACTCCTCGGGAGCAGGCAAATTTCCACCATAAAGGATAAACAAGACCATGCGTGGGACAACTTTAGCCATTCAATAGCATCATTCTTAGAAAACAAAAAGAAACAAACAGAATCACCAACACATTTCTGTTAAGAACAGCAATATTAAAAAAATAGGGGGGAGGGGAATCAACCACAGACCCCTTCTGACAACAGAAAAGATCTAAGGGACAAAATGTAAACTTTCTCAGGAAACACAAGGACTATTTGTTAGGCCCGTGCTAAAATAAAACGCACACTCAGATTCTGGTGATGTAAAGAGATTTCACATCCTGCTTGAAAGCAAAAGCACGCTGTTCCCTTCGCCCTGCTCATGTCAGCACTCTGCTGTCACTCTGACTCACAAGCCTAATATTAAATGAATGATTTGTCTCAGCCGCACCAATATTCCTGCCTACGGGGAGGAGAACGCTCCTACATGGACATATCCATCACACTTTTCTTTGAACTACAATCCTTGGGTCTCCAAGTGGTCTCCTCTCCAAGGCCAAGAGTGCTAACCTCACAGCCTAGACAAATTGGCCAATAGCTCATGTAAAATAGGACCGACCCGATTGTCTGCAGCGAGCAAGCATTCTTACTTACCCATCGGATGCCCTGGATCCTTGGGGCATTGTTCATCTGCCCCTCCAGCTGGATCCGATAGCTGCAGCTGCGGAACAAGTGCATTTTTTTCCAAAGCTCGTAGAGGAGGTTTCTTTCAGGGATCGGATCCACGAATCCCGTGGAGAACTGGGACAAGTCTGCAACCTCACCGGGTGGAAGTTCGACATTCCACCTTCCGTGCCCAGTCCAAGCCACCTTTGGGAACATGAAAAAATAGCTAAGAAAGAACACAGGAACAATTCCTTTTTCCCATCCTGTCTGCCTTGGATATTCTTCTTGAAAGAGCAGTGTTATTATCACACGTATACAGGTAGTCCTCGGCATACGACCACAACTGAGCCCGGAATTTATGTTGCTAAGTGATAAATTTGTTAAGTGAGTTTTGCCCCATTTTACGATTTTTCTGGCTGTATTTGTTAAGTGAATCGCTGCAGCTGTTAAATTATTAACATGGCTGTTAAGTGAATCTGGCTTCCCCATTGATTCTGCTGGTCAGAAGGTCACAATGATCCAGGGACACAGCAACCGTCATAAAACATGAACCAGTTGTCAAGCATCCAAATGTAAATCACATGACCATGGGGATGCTGCAATGGTCATAAGTGTGAAAAATGGTCATAAGTTCCTTTTTCCAATGCTGTTGTAACTTTGAACGGTCACTAAATGTATAAGTCAAGGAATACATATATACATACACACACACACACACACACACATATATACAGGTATACATATATATATGCACGCATATATACATACATACACACGTACACACACATGCCCACACACATATACAGGTGTGTGTCTGTGTATATATATATATATAATTTATATTTGCTGGTATAAAATGTTGTGTTTGTTGTGAATGAGACTGCTTGAGGGCTCCTGGATTGGAGCTGAAAGGCAAAAGGGATGCAGTATGCTCCCTCCCACATGCTGGGGTAGACCAGGTGTCTCCATAGAAAAACACTTTATATATATATATGTTTATGTACTGGTATATATACATACATATACATATGCACATATATATTCATATATACATACATACAAGCGCATGCGCGCACACGCACGCACACACACAAATATATGGTATTCTACTGCACTTTAGAGCAGTCAAAACTTTTTACTTGTATGATTTTGCCATAGCATTCATTGGGGGAGGAAAAGAACTCAAGAGAAGAATGGTGTGCCTGAAATCCATCTTGTGATAAATAAATGAGAAATCTGACCTGAAAATCTGACCTGACCCGACCACGGTTCCTTTGAGAACACTCCTTTTCCTTTTAATTCCTATCCGGTATTTTCTTCTACCAACTTTTGAAGCGTTGGACGATCGGGGTGGCTACAAAGTTCTTTTTATCACCTCTTTCTCTTACAGCAGGTTTAACCCCAGCTCCTTCTGTGCCGGAGCTCCGCGCCCACCTTCCTAAATCCGGGCGTGGAGAACCGCCGAAAGCAGGAATCTCTCCCCCCACCCCCCACCCCCCCAAGAAAGCGATCCACGCTTACCTTCATGTCCGGTGCCTGGTCCTCATTGAGAATTCTGGGCGCAGCGGAGCCCGCAGCCTTCGGGAGTCCCACGCGACGCTGTTAGGATAGCAACGAAATGGGATCATGGGGCGGAAGGTGGGGGGGAGTCGTAACAAAGCGCACGAGCGCGATCTCTTTTGGATTGAAGTTGCGACCGGATCGGTGCCTGATCCTTTTGGAAAAATCTTTCGCCGGCACGCCCGGGAGCCACCAGGATCTTCTCGCTCTTGGCTTCCTGCTCTTTCTCTCTCACACACACACACAAACACACGCACCAAACAGCGAGAGGGAAAGGGAGCGCGCCCGCACGTCCCCTTCCTTTCGCACCTTCCCTCTTCTGGAGCCGCGGGACGGGAGCAAAAGTAGGAAAAAGCGCCGCCAAGGCTGCCGCCAGGAGAGCCCTTGGCCCTGAGCCCAGAAGCATTCAGCTGGAAAAGCCCGGGAGCAACTTCCCCCACCTCACTCCACCCCCTCGGAACCTGCAAACGGGCAGGCAGCGACGTTTCTGGTAGAGCGAGTCCCGAGCTCAAAGCGGCCGCCGGCTTAGGGGCTCCCCTGAAAGCGGCCGGTGGGAAGACGAGGCGCTGCTAGAAGTCACTAAGCCGGCCGCCCGCCCGCCCTGGAGAAGTCCACGGAGGCTCAGAAATCAGACCGGCCTCGTTTCTTTGAGCCTATCGCCGCCAGAGTGGGCTTAGAAAACCACGCGCGATTCTACCCAGATCTTCTCGTTTCTCTGTTTTGGGGGTCCGGCTTCTAACCCTGATTTTTTCCTCTCAGGAGCTCCGTTTTTACCTCACGGGTCGTTTTACACCCCACAACCTTCACCTTGCGAGGTTACTGGGGTGAGGGAGGTTGGGGGGAGGGGCTTCTGTGACTAAGGGAGACTTGAACTTGGGTCTCCTCCTCGGTCCTGTTCGACATTGAAGAAGTGTATATACACACACACACACACTACCCTGGCTCTTCGGTTTCCCCGTCCTGTTCTTTGCTATTGTCCTACTGTTTGTACTTGTATTGTCCTTTTCTTCCAAACATGGTGTGTGTTGTACCCTTAGAGCAACCTGCAAGACAGGATGGGCTGATTATATGGAGGGCATTGAGCAACACCAGGCCACAGGATGGCAGTAGACCCTTTTTTTTTTTTTTACCCTTCCCAATCTCAATGCTGTTTGCTTTGCTGTGGGATAGCATGTGGTGAAGCTCCCTCGTTGTAGTTTACACCTTAGAACCCTGGAAATATGGTTTATTCAAATATCTATGGTTAAAGCATAGCATAGACCATGCATGAACTAATACGCTCAACAAGCTGTACAGTAACAATTATCCAGGCTAAATATCTGGCTGACTGTGCAAGGAATCATAATATACGGGAACCAGTTTAGTGTAGTGGTTCAAGGATCAGGTTAGAAACCTCGAGACCGTGAGTTCTAGTCTCACCTTGGGCACGAAGCCAGTTGGATGATCTTGATCCAAACATTCTCTCTCAGATCTAGCAAACAAGGGAATGGCGAACCAAGATTTGGAAATCTTGCCCAGAAAAATTACAGAAAACCTGTCCAGGCAGTCGCCAAAAATCCACACTGACGCAAGGCACAAAAATAATTAAAAATAATAGAACTGTGGTTTGTTCTAAACAGAAAGCAGCTATGGTTTTGCTATTGCACGCTGCGGTAAAGAGCCAGTTTTGTGTAGTGGTGAAAGCATCAGGCTTGAAACTGTGAGTTCCAGTTTTGCCGTAGGCATGAAGCCCACTGGGTGACTTTCGGCCAGTCAGTTAAGGTGCTGGTGTCAACTGACCTATATTATCTTTGCAATCACATGTTTAAAAAATGTTTCTGTTTTCCTTAGCTAATAATAATACAGCCTAATAAATAAAGGAGCATGTGGCTCAATTTTTTTCTGGACTAATGGTGCTAAGCCAATGATTCAGCTGGAGGCTTTCTTCCTTATCTGATTGAAGAATCTACAGTTTGCAGAGTTATAATAAATTTATTTACGGTCACAGACCAAAATGCAAGCATAGCTACAGAAAAACATAGGAAAAAGAACATCACGAACAGCCGGCTACCGGAAGCCACAGCGCTCTCCTCTAATGGTTACGGCTCTTAGAAAAAATTTTGAGACCTGAGAGGTAGTGTATGAGGAGCCATCCCCTAAACAATACAAGGCCAAATCACTATCATTGGGCCCACAGAAATCTGTCTCTAAGAGAGACATCAAATTAGTCCTGGCTACGTTGTACATGGGGCAGTGTAAAAGGACATGCTCCACAGTCTCAACCTCCGCTCTACCACAGGGACATAGCCGCTCGCCCTTCGGAAGCCTCTTGAATCGACCGTCCAGCAATGCTGAAGGCAAGACGTTAAAACGAGCAAGGGAGAAGACTCTTCTATACTTAGGGATGGTTAGAGTATAGAAATATGAGGCCATCCTCAGTCCAAAATTATTAAGTTGGCTGAAGACCAGAGGGGAGCAGGTTTTATTGGCTCTAGCTCTCAGATATTGTAAGTCTATGTCCACAAACCATTGGACTACCCTACATTGGGCGTCTTTAAGGCCATAGTCTCCCATGGCATCCCCCGAAAAACCTAACAGGTGGAGTTTCTTCGTCAGATCCCTCTCCCATCGAGACGTATAGGGGTCAGCTAACACCAGGGAGAGGGGCTGCCAAAAAGAGTGCCCGAAACCACCATTTAAAGGTGTTGATCCACGCCATGCATTCAACTGATCGAATGCCCAGTTCCAGATACATCGGAGCAAAGCCAACACAGGGAGGGAGACCCAAAAGTTTCCTTAAAAAAGCAGCCTGGGTTCTTTCAATACACTCCTTGAAGCCCTGTATCCATATAGGAATTCCATAAAGAGTTTGGGCCAAGGTTTTGGCTTTGTAAATACGCAGAGCAGAAGGAATAAATTGGCCACCTTGGGTATAGAAAAATCTTAAAATCTGCTGATGGCTACAAAAAGCTGAATTCAGCACCTGGGTTCGGTGTCTAGTCCAAGCACCAGTGTTCTGAAAATGTATACCTAAATACTTAAAATGGGAAACCTGCTTAACAGGATTACCCTTAATAGCCCAGTTGTGTAACTTCCGGGCACTAGAGAACACCAAGACTTTTGATTTGTCGTAGTTAATGGACAAGTGATTCTCAGCACAGTAGGACCCAAATGCAGAGAAAAGCCTTTTCAGGCCAAGCCTCGTCAGTGATAGGAGGACCGCGTCATCAGCATAAAGGAGAAGCGGGATCTTCGTTGTTGACAGCTTTGGGGCGTGAGACTCAATACATCCAATATAAGAGGCCAAATCAGATAAAAATAGGTTGAACAAAAGAGGAGCCAGGAGACAGCCCTGCCTTACTCCACTCTTTATCGGGATAGGGTTAGAGTTCTCCCAGTTTGCAGAGTTGATTTGCAGGAGTTTATCCAGGGAAATTCAGCAAGCTCATAAGGCAGGGATGTCAAACTCAAGGTTGGCCCACAAGGTGCTTAGATCTGGCCCGCAGGGCTGTCGTGCAAACAGCAAAGGACTGGCCCGTGGTGCCTCTACCAGTGAAAATGGAGCTCAGGAGGATTGCATACGGCCCTCCCAACCTCCATTTTCACTGGCAGAGGGTTGCAGGAGGCCATCGCAGCTAAAAACAGAGCTCACAAGCCTATTTTCGCTGGCAGAGTACTTGGGCCACCACAGGCATCTCTGCACCACAGAGCATTTAGGCCACCACAGGCATCCCATGAGTGATGTCAAGCTGGCCACGCCTCCTACCCCCCCACCCCGCCTGAGGTCAAACACAACCCTGATGCGGCCCTCAATGAAATTGAGTTTGACACTCTTGTCATAAGGTAAGAGATCAATGTGTCACTTCTTAGAAAGCTGATTCAGTGGAAACACTATTTAAAGAAGGAATCGCTGGAGATTGGAGTATTAGTGGAGGAAATGCAAAAGATAAGTAATAAGTGAACTTAGAACTTATGTGCCCCTAAAATTTATGCCCACCGAAGTGTGCCATGCGATTAAACAAATCTAAAATAATGGGAATTCAATGCAGCTCCAGTGTTGACATCTAAGGCTTAGATTGCACAACATATAATGCATGGTGTGATTCGGTATACTGTGACTTCCTCAACTGAAAGATAGGTTAAGATGTAGTTATACAGAAGCATCATTGTTACCAATGGTTATTTGCTAATGAATTTAACTTAGTAGTCAATTTGCAATCTCTCAGGGATTGTAAAAATCAGAAACAGGAGCAGTTACAAAATGGACTTGCCCCAGCACGTTATGTTCACTTCCTTAACTCAGGAAATAAATTATCTTCCATCAAATTCAGAGTCGTTATAATCCCCATTCAGATCAACAGGGTGGTTTGCAAACCCCTATTAAGTTTGATTGTTAAGTTGAAACTAGAGTCACATGAGCACATAAAGAAGTCATCCAACCGAACCAGTCCTGCTATGAAATGCCACCACCGTACAAGTCAAATCACCCATTGAAATGATGTGATGCCCGCCACAAATCACGGGATTCAGTGATCCCGTGCAGCCCTAAACCGACTGATCGGTAAGGTAAATACTCAAGCATCAAGTTTCATAACAAAACGAGAGCAACCATTTAGTCCTATTTCATGCCAGTTTCTTACTGTCATGAATGAGATGGGACAGGTAGATTAGATAATTATTACAAGGTTGGCTCCGACACTGATAAAATCTTGGCTGTCAGCTGTATTCAGCTGCTGCAAGGAAGTGGCCCAAAAAAGATGTACCTGCTGCCTTCTAAACCTTGGGATTTTGCCTCTTTCAACTTGTATTCCTCCTTTCCAGGGCTTACATGGTTTATTATTATTATTTCAAGGGTAGCACTTTGTATTATCCAAAGCTTTTACTTGATCGGTTTCATTATAAACTAGATTATACCCTTTCCTGAGCCCCTGTTCGGGCATACCCCACACACTAAGCCATATAGCATGGCTTACAAATCACAGTGATTGACTTTTGTACAAAACACTAAGCTGATACCAAACAAACTGTATTATTGATTCGCCCACTAAGTAAATATAAATAGCCTAAGAATATTTAGCAGCCTGAGTGATCTAACAAAGGGAACATGAAGAAATACCCAATCCAGCTGTTCCCCTACTGCCTGGTCCTAGATCTCAGGAGAAGGAAGAAAAAATTCTTTTACATTATCTGCTCCCTCATTTTTTTTACTGAAGATGCCCAAGAACTGAATTTTAGATGTTCCGCACATGATGCAGATGCTCCCATTAGAACTGTGGTCCTTCCCCTGGCATTGTTTCCAAATAGCATTTCCCTGGTCCCTATTCTATGTGATTCTCTTTCCCTTTATCTCCTCTAGGATGATAGCTTACTATGATGCTGGTTTAGTCACTCTTTGAGAGCAGCCCTGCTATAACTTTTCCACTAAGTGCCAAATCCTTATCAGTAGAATGCCAGAGTCTTGCATAAGGTTCAGTCTTGGCATAAAAGCAGCACTTAATTATGTAAGACCTATTAATTTCCAAGGAGGAAAAAAAGGGGAAGACATGTTTAGAATATCAAGTACAGTGAGGTAAAAGCAGTATTTAATTTTTAAA